TCACTTGAAACTTGCACTAGAATTGAGTGAGATACAAAACTGCATACTCAAAATCTTTCTAGAAAATCTAATTAATAGTTCGAACTTTTTACGAAAGTTTGTTCATTTGTTTTTTAATATCGCACAAAGTTTAAAACTTGGATTTATACGGGTTTCGTTAAAGAGTGAACTATATATTTATAAAAAAAAATATCTCACAATATATAACAAAAAAATAATATTTGTAAAAACTTTTTTTCGACCACTGTATGTATGTAAAGATTATATAAACAGTTTTTATTCTTTATTTCTTAACTAACTTTAAAAAAATTTGGTTTGGTTTATGTATACAAAATAATAAAATAACCAGAAGACTGGCAATATATCAAAATAGATACTTTTTTTTTGCAAATAAGGAGATATCTGGAGATGGGTGGGGAATTTTACGAAATTTCGGGCAAAATCGGGGAATTTCATTGTCGAAATCGGGGAATTCTCAAAAATGGGTTGGCAACCCTAGTTGATTGTAGTTTTCAATGTGAAATATCCACCTTTTTATCATCGAATCACTTGGTCTCTGCTATTTTTGTGTTCGCTGTTGTATTTATATATACATATATATGTATAATATAAAAACATGCATATACATCGTATATCCATATACATACATAGCATATCTGTGGATGCGCATAGAAAATATTCGAATTAAATAAGATAATAAATATAAAAAAAAACAGCTGCAGATCTGCACACTGACGTATAAAGCAAAAGATCACAGTGATGTCGCCCAGAGCACCACAAACACACCAACCTATCCGACGGATATAAACGAAAGCATACCCTGTTGGAGAGTTTATTGCCGTTTTTTATTATTTATTTATTTATTTTTTTTTTTATTTAAGCAAATACTGTATTTGACGACACCATGAGGTGCTAATTAATGTGGCGCTTCATAAGCATCTTATAGGTGGGCTAAAATCTTATGACATAATACATATATATCTATAGGGTTCTCGGAAATGGCTCTTAACGATTTTCATGAAATTTTGTACACAGAATATATTTTGGATTTTAAGGTTATCTGAATAGGCACTATCTCCGAGAGGACTCGTGTGTTCGAAATTAGTTACAAATTAATTAAAACATCACAATTGAGTATCAAATGGAAGGTATTTTAAAGACCCCTAATTCGAAAATGTTTTTAATAGGATTGCCACCTATTTTGAATCGCTATTTATTTAATTTTTTTTTTAGAAAAAAGGTGAAACATTACTATTCATGGGAACCAAGAGAAGGTTCTTAAACAATGTTTGCCCTATATACAAAATGTTATCTTTTGGGATAATAGTGTAAGGTTGCCACTTATTTTCAATTCTACATAGTTTATCTAAAACATCGCAATATGGATATCAAATGAAAGCTATTGTTGAGAACTTTGGTCAGAAAATATTTTCCATCAGGGTTGCCACGCTTCAATGTAATACAAATTTTTATTTTGTTAATTTCAATCAGCATTTTTTTGGTGTATATATAGTACATATACGCTCAAGATATGTACCATTCATTCCAGCGTATTTCGGAATAGGGTTGCCACTTACATTTTTTTAATAGATATCGTCATCCATTTTTTTTATTTCCAAAATATTTTTTTTTAGTCATCCAAATCTTTAAAACTTTAAAAAGTGTATGCACTTCGGGCAAAGCTCGGTCATCCTGTTACTCTAAATAAATAGAGCTGACGACATTCTATATACTTCGCTTTCGCTTGTATATGTACATATAGATGTAAATAGTTACAATAATTAAATTGTATACATGCATATGTTAATATTTGGTGCTCAAACATTTATCTGCGAATTTCGGATGTTTTCACCTCAATGCCTGTACAATCTTAGTTTGCGTTCGAGCTTTTTAATGGCAGAAGTACACTCGCAGGTTTGCCATTGCCAAATGGATCTGGCGCTCAATGCTTCTTTTCTGCACAAATCCTTACTGCACCTCTTCTCAAAAACGTACTACTCTTGCCTTCTGCCTTATACCATTGCCGAGAAGTAGGGCTACGGTGAGTTTGGAAATTGTTTGTTCTTTATTGTCGATGGATAGGGTAAGGGATTTTTTCGCAAAGCCAGGCTTAGAGTTTGCACCCACTGGCCGTAGTCACTCTGAAAAACCCCCTTCTCAAGGAATTAATGCTGTGTATGTACGTACATATATGAAGGATGTTTAATTTATTAAAAGCCTACCTTTTCCACTATATGCCGCCTTATCTTTCACGATCATTCTTGCTTATCTTTTAAGACATACACACGAATTTCTATGAAACAAGTATTGAACCACAAACAGCTACATTTTCTCTGCAGGGTACGACATTAGCACCGAACCGCCCT